TTTCCTAAATGTTTGGTGATGAGGTGCTATCCAAATAACTGAGTCTTGAAGGGACCCTTGCTTCAATTCCTTTGCAATGCAAATGCAAAGCTTATGCTGGCTGAAAACTTATTCACATTACAAATGCCTCCCCCTTTCTCTTTCACATGAAAAAGAACGCTCAGACTTTTCAAACAGAAAGGGGGAAGGTTCAAAGGTGATTTAAGCTCATTGTATGATGTGTTCTATGGCTTCTAAGAATTGGGCTCAGAGTGATGCCAAGGCCTCCACCATAAATTCTGAAAGCCGAGTACAACTTGTGTGAGAGGGATCTGGAAACATAAGGCTGGAATCCATAAGGCTTTAAATGATACAGTAGATACATTGAAAACATATTTCTCTGCTTTCCTTTGGACGACAGTAGCGAGGCAGAGAATGGGGTCTTGTCATCGGGGCAGTCCAGGACCTCCAGACACGCTGCTCAGGCTTGTGTCCTAGAAGGTCACTTTGGTGCTGCTTATGCAGCAGTTTCACTTCACCCTTGGAGGCACGCTTAACTGTATCTCAAGACAGATGCTAACAAATGCTGAATCAGAGCAAACAGCAACCCATAGAAAACCTGAACTGCATACCCTCCAACATTTATCCGATGAAAATAGGGACGTCCCATTCCATAATGATCATTTTACTATTTATGCCCCACACTTCTTACTGAGTTGCCCCAGCCACTCTGGGCAGCTTCCAACATATATAAAAACACAATAAAACATTAAACATTAAAAAAAACCTTCCCTATACAGGATTGCCTTCAGACAGCTCAGGGGTAGGATAACTCCATACCCTTCAGCATTTATCCAATGAAAATAGGGACATCCTAAGGAAAAGTGGGACATTTCAGGATCAAAGCAAAAACTGGGACAGCTTCTCTAAATCAGGAACATTCCTGAGAAGTAGGGACACTTGGAGGGTCTGGAATTGCCATTTGTTGTGCTTTAAAGCACAGGTTTTTGCAAGGAGATATCTGGGCGAAAGAGTGCTCAGACCCAGAGCTTTACAACATGGACGTGTGCCTGGAAAGTGTAAAACATAAGTGTGGACAAGCCCTGAGTTAAGATAAGATTCGTTAGTGCCGTAAGGCAGCTTCTTAAAAATGAAAAAGGAGTGTATTTTCTGCACCACACACACAAAAGCAGAGAGGGAAGTTATCTTCTTCTCATTTGGCAACTGCCCCTTTCTGGAAGTTGAGGCTGCATCACCAACATTCCTGGAGATGAGCAAGAAATTGCTTCATTTCAGGTTGGGTTTTTTCCCTTTCTGAAGGAACGTTTCCTGAATTTCTAGTCTGGTGCCAAAGAGCAAAACCAATAAAACAGAAGACATTTCCATGAAGGTGCAACCTACCAATATATTCCACCCTATTCCAATTTTTCATGAGTGATAATAACTTTTTTTCAAGGGAGACCACTCCAGCTCTCAGGACACATGTATCTGGCCGGAAGCAATTGCATTGATTTCCTATACAGTTGTGGTTCCCAGCCCTCATGATTCTGGAAATAAACTTTAAAAGGTCAATGTAATGTCTACTAAGAGCTTTCAGAGTAAAGGCTGTCTGGGAGGAGCGTCAGCTAGGAGAATTGACTAGGAGGACGGGAGGGAGAGGGGACACAACTCTGGGAGTTTTTTTCCAGAACAGGGCGTCATCTGCTGGAGTTTCAGAGTAATTGAGAGGCACACCTTGCTCTGACAGCTGAAAGCAGGTGATAAGAAGGCTTTCATGTTTCCCTAGGGTTCTCATAGGACATAAGGGAAGTCAGAGAAGCAGAAAAACAAAGTAGAGGCTGGATATTTACCCCCCTTTTCTTTGATGGGGTTTCTACTTCACATCAAGCATTTTTAAAGGTAGTGTACAATTGTCTGCTTTTCTTCTTAAAAGCTAAATGTTGCATTTCAGCTGGCTGAAGATTCTTTGTGAAAGTTCCAGGTTGAGTTTATTCAGTATAAATGTATTCTATGACTGACAGCTGATCCTACTAAATTGGGTATTATGTGATGTACTGCAAGTCTTTGGGGCAGTGTGTGTGTGTGTGTGTGTGTGTGTGTGTGTCTGTGTCTGTGTCTGTGTGTGTTTCTGTGTCTGTCTATGTCTATGTCCAGTGCTTTTTTTCTAAAAAAAATGTTTAGGGGTACTCTCATTTTGACTCAAGAAAATCACCATTTTATAGTTCAAATCAGGGAAAAATAAATACTGTACAGTAAATGGACAAAAGTACAAAGATTCACAACATGTTTAGGGGTATGTGTACCCCTGCACACTGTCTGTGTCTATATGAATCAGCACAGTTGTCTGCATTTGAGGGAACTTTTCTTGAACTTCCAAATACATTTATTTAAAGTTGTTTTTACGGTTTTTTAACTGATACTTTTTATTGTCTTATTTCCTTTGTAAAGCACTTTGAGGGTTTTCTTTTTTAACAATCAAGTGGCATATAAATTTTATGAAATAAATAAAATAAATAAATTTTGGGCTCTTTTTTGGAAACATGTCTGTTGTGCCTGAGAAAGGAGGACATCTTCACAGTGTCATTTTCCATCTTCCTGCATAATACCTCCTACCCATTGATATCCCTTGTTTGAGGTCTATTCTTCAAGGAAAGGGGCCATAGCTCTGTGGCAGAGTATCTGCTTTGAATGCAGAAGGTCACAGGTTCAATCCCTGGCACCTCCAGGTGACCTACTGCCTTCTTGTTGCTCTCTGGTTAGGCTAGATTTCCTTCCTAGCAATTGATAATTCTGTCATAATCTAGGTGGCCTATTACAAATCAAACGAAAACGTATTTCCTGAATTGCACTACAAGTAGCTTACTTTCTTTTACCAGATGCCCCTTTCTTTACTAATAAATCCAGGGACCAAGACACAAACCACAGTGGACAAGAGCTCTCCCTTCAGACTGAAACTTTTTTTTCTGGTTAAGGGCTAATAATGTGCCCTTAACAACTATGGACCTGGCATAATTTCAACTGGAAAAGCTTTATCTGTTGCCTTTCATGCTGCGGTTTAAGGTACAGGAGCACTGTCAGAAAAAAAGTTGGCAGTTCTGTTTCTCCACCCTGTGCAGATTGGGCCCTACAAGCCAAGGACTGCTGAGGAGAAGTTCTGTCCCTCTGAATTCAAACTGAGTTCAGTTTGCTTGTTTTCCTGACCCACTGATACAACTCCTCCCCGTGGGAGAGGGACAGTAAACTTCATTTCCTCATAGGAATAACAGGATGGGTGAGAGGTTGGGGACTAATGTAATTAAAAGCGGAAAGTTAGGGCAGGGTGGCCTTCTGGATGTTGCTGAGGTCCAACACCCATCATTTGCATGGTCTCTGCTGGCTGAGACTATCTCATCCCTCTGCTAATTCATGCTGCATAGACACCACAAAAACAGGCAACTGAGCTCAAGCTGGGTTTTTTGTTTTGCAAATGGCGCTCAGGCTTCCATTGCCTTGCATGGTTAATGTAGATCCAGCATTACCCAGAATGCTCATTCACATGACGTGTGGCTCTCCTCTTTTTCTAAGCAACAGAGATCATTTAGAAAACACCTGATCCCTTAAAATTCAAGACAGGCAGATGCAAAAGACAGAGCTGCTGCATCTGACCTTTCAAGAAAAGGGTTGTGCTTCAGCAGCAGAGTATATATGCTTTGTATGCAAAAATACACAGCTTTAGACCCTGGCATCTCCAGGCAGCAATGGGAACGACCCCCATCTGAAACTCAGTGCTGAGCTAGATGAACTGATGGTGTGACTTGATATGAAGAAGCTTCCTCTGTTCCTTTGCTACCTTTTAATGTTGTACAGGGACATTCAGCAGGTGTAGCTTTCAGGATAAGTCTTGCTAACAGCACATGACAAGCACAGTACCAATGAGGTGTTGTTGTTTTAAGACCACAATGGTGTCACCTCAAAACATGCTTCTGGTTGTATACTCTGAGCCTCAAAATAGCCAATAACCAAATTTATTGCTAAAATAGCCAAAAACCAAGTTGTCCCATGTCTAGCAGGGCAGGTAAGAACAGGTGCAAAAGAGGGCAGGGGCCCTGCTCCTGTTAATAGCTATGTAGCAGAGGGACTCCCCAGCAGAGACACCTGCTGAAATCCCCCCCTCTTTTCCGCAACTGTTAAGGAAGTGCAGGAGCCTCCGCTTTTGCATCTGTCCAACCTACCTAAATGTGAAGCCTCACATGTGAAAGCAGTCTCAGCCACATGGCTTTGAGCAAAATCACTGACCAGCCACTATTGTTGCTTTTGCATTTCTTGTGTGCAAATCAGCATTTGCACCATTCTGTCTGTAATGCAAATGCAGATTCATAGAATTGTAGAATCTACATTGTAGAGCTGGAAGGACCCACGAGGATCATCTAGTTTAGCCCCCTGCAATGCAGGAATACTTTGCCCAATGTGTGGCTTGAACCCACGACCCTGAGATTAAGAGTCTCATGCTCTACCAACTGAGCTATCCCACAACTTGCATTAGGCGGCATGTTTATCTGCTTTACAGAGGCTCTTTTCCCATTGCCCTGCACCAGCAGGGCTTAGACGTTTACATAAATAACATGACAGTGGCTCCCGTCTCATCTGAAAACATCCTTAAGACTGAGGATGTTCTCAGAGCTGTGTACAAATAGCAGTCCTGGCTGGCGAGGATCTGGGGAGGATCTGAATTCTCCTCCCCACCAGGCCACTGTTCCAATCTGAATCATCTCCCCCATTCCGTGTGGCTGCTACAAGCACACAAGGGTCAATCAGGTGTTCCACATTAGCTTGGCTCAAAGCCTGAGTCTTAAAAATAACTAAACTAAGGTCTGCAGGTGTCCATGGGACCTGAACACTGTTAACTCTTACAAGTTAAGCTTTGAAACAGAGTATTCAAGTCATGAGTATATGAAATTAATTTTCCATTATGTAATAAAAGTACTTCTGGGGGAAAGAGAGAGGTCGCTTATTTGGAGCCATGGACTGCCTCAACGTTACGAGAGCAAATTCTTTAAGCTTCAAAAGGTACCACAGGAGCACTGCACTTGCAGGCAAGAGAGCTCCCTAAGTTTCTTTTATCACTTCCTCTTCAACTTCAGACATCCTGCCTACAGATTTAAGGAGGTCAGCAACAAGCGTCAACGTCTCAGCTCCAAAGACGAGCTGGTGGATGGTAGCGTGTGCATGGTTGGTGACCCTGAGGAGGTTCTGCAAGGCAATTTCAACATGCTGTTTCACTGCTCCCATGTTGCTAGTTTGGCCTGATCGCAGGTTTTCGTTCTCCACTTTGTAACAGGTCAGCTCAGCCTGGAGGAAGCACATCTCCTGCTTCATCTTCTCAACATCACTCTCTGCCTTCAGGGCTCTTTGAGTCATGCACTGGAGATTTTGTTCTGCCTGTTGCACCAGAGCTTCCAGATCCTGAGCATCTTTCTCCTCTTTATTCACCGTGGCCTGCAATGTCCTCTCCAGGTTCCTTACCATTTGGGTCTGACTTTCTGAGAAGTTTTGGATCCTTCTGATCTTCCTCCTCAGCATAGAATTTTCCTCCCTAAGCTCTTGGTAGCTCAGCTGCGGAGACACGTATTCCATATTTTCTATGGGTTCTTCATGGGCAACGTAGCTTTCATCCGTCTTGGTATGAGAAGGGCACCCAATACACGTCTCGTTGTCACTGAACCCCCACGAAGAGAAAGCCTCCATCCCCGAAAGACTAGTTGTGTTGTAATTGTATGGATCACACTGAGCCATGCTGGCAATCCTTGACAGATGCACTTTGTCATAGGCAGATGGCGGGTATCTTTCTCTCCAGTCGTCATCGTCATCTGATAAATGATCAGAAACTGTTGCCTCCTTGTATAATGGCTCTTGAAATTCCAAGTTCAAGCCCAGTGGTTCTGGAGACAAAGACACTACTTCAAGCCCAAGGTTCTGCCTTGCCATTTTCTTTCTGTAATTTCTATTTTTCACTTCATGCTGTCTTCCCGGACCACGGTTCTTGTTTTTACCCATCCCTTTCAAAGAAAATGTGGGTGGGTCATTTGAATTTTTCATCTGATTGTCTCCAGAGCTGATGTGACCCTTGATGTGGTCTGGAGGAGGTGGTATGTGGTGGTGGTAACAGGGCTGGATTTCCTCTTCTTCTTCTTTCAGGCCTCGGGAATGTGAGCAGCCCGCCAGAAGTGGCCGTGGCATGTTTTGGGGGGAGGCCCTATTAGTTTCTATAGAAGTTTCATTCTTCCAAATGAGCACCAGCCCAGGTCCCACTTCTTCTCCAGAGGATTAACCAGCCCTGTCGGCTGTAGTGCCAGTGCTGCTGGCCTCAGCACAATTTAATGGTCTACTGAAGCATCTGAGTCTTTACCTTGTATGTGTGCATCTCTTTAATAGTGGAGGAAGCAGAAGTTGCCTTGATCTATGATGTCACTAGATGACAGTACTTCATTTTGTGACTTCACAGGCTTGGGGGAGACACATAGCTAGAACAGCTTTTACAACTTTTTTTTTCAGCTAGTGACATTGAACTATATACTATTGATGCCAGGACTTGACCCTGTCTGGAATCTTCCTAGGTTATCATGCCATGCCCCAGTTTTAATGCCAGTAACTAGATAGTAAGCTGATCAAACCAACTATGGATGGGCAAGCCTAACTAGACCAAAGAAGGCTGGGGCAGTGGAGATGTTGCTGCATTGAAAGCCCTAAAGACTCTTGCCAGTCTTTGTCCAACTCTGTTGGTAGTAGCCTCCTGCCCACCTGACCATAGCAGACGCCTCAGCTGCAGCATCAGCAACACCCCAGCAGCACTCCTCTCCTTTGGCAAGGAGGTTTGAGAGAAATGATTTCTGTTTAAAACCAAGTCTGTGGCTATGAAAGAAACAATATCCTCTGGGGGGTATTAATGCTGTGAACCCTTCCATCTCAGGCTCAGGTTGTATATATGCATAAATAAGCCATATATCATAAAGACGCCACAGCCTCCGCTGTGCCTCATTCCAAAAGGAAACATGAACCCCGCCTAGAACCCCTGGAATCTCGCACCACTTGGATATTGGCCTGGCATGCAATAGTATGTGAATAACGCTAATCACATTTTTTTTTTGTTTTTAATGATGCTGGTGCTTTGAAATGACGCTGGTGAGCATTTAAGCAGCAATGGGAGGGACAAAGGGCTGCAGAGGAGAAGCTTTGTCTGCTAACTTTGTCCGTAGTGTTCTGTACACTAATACAGAATCTACTCCACAATGCGCAACATTAAAAAACTTATTATTCAAGCTTATATCCACCCTTCCTCCACTGAGTTCAGAACTCAGGGTGGACTACATGGATTCTGACTTACTTCTGTGCACTGCTTTTTTCTGGGGAGATGCAGAGGTACTCGTACCCCTAAACATTTTGTGAATCTTTGTACTTTTGTCCATTTACTGTATTTATTTTTCCTGATCTGAGCTATAAAATGGTGATTCTCTTGAGTCAAAATGAGAGTACCCCTAAACATTTTTTTAATAGAAAAAAAGCACTGCTTCTGTGTATCCTCACACAACAACTGTGTAAAATAGATTAAGGGTGTGTGTGTGTGTGTGTGTGTGAGAGAGAGAGAGAGAGAGAGAGAGAGAGAGAGAGAAAGCTGACTTTGTAAGGAATTGCACTTTAGAAACTTCTCACTGTAACTGTGCTTTGAGAGTACAACTGAGTTCACTGTCCTGAATTGGCTTCCTAATAGATAGATAGATAGATAGATAGATAGATAGATAGATAGATAGATAGATATAGATATAGATATAGATATAGATAATTTTATTAGAATCATTGTGTTGGAAGGTACTTTGGAGGTCCTCTGTGTAGGATCTGGAATACAAGACACACAATCCTGGCCTCCGCTCAACAACCTCCAGCAAAGGAGAGTCCACCACGTACTGAGGCAGTTTTCAAGCACTTTTCAGGGGGATAGCCCCACACAGAATGTGATTGAGTAGTTCCAACCTGGATTAAACTGATAACATGAAAGACTGTGACCAGTTCAGATAATCTGTGGGCAGGTTTTCATTCATCTGTTTTATTGTTCAGAGGGAGATGGCGAGTTACGAAACCAACCAACAGAAAATGCCAGGCACGCAAGTTAAAACCAGGCCAGTCTCACTTTGCTCTGCCAACATGTGGCATCTGAAGGGTATGAAGAGGGGAATGCAATCAAATGTGCTTTAAAAAAATAATAATTATAAATAGACCGAGGAGTATATGCCAGCAGTCCCCATCTGTCCTCCCAATGATTGTTAAATGATGGATTTCTTTAGGCAACCTCATCCCCTGAGGCTTAAATAGCAATTTTATGTCTCTCATTGGGTGCATTTTGGGGTAGGGAGAGAGGCGTGCTGGGTTCTCCCCCCTCCCCATAGCCCAAGGAGCAATACAAAAAAACAACAACCAAAAAAATGACCGAAAAACCCCACCCCCAAAACAAAACAAACCGTTGGAAGTGAAACCATCTTCAGAGCGTGACTCAGAGCTATTCATAGCTCCACAAAGCCAGCTGCAGCATCAGAGACAGAAGGGATTCTGCCTGTATTATTATTTCAATTACCATCTGAATTAAAAGTTTGAGCCGTGATCAACCCACATGGTGGAGGGAAGGAAATGCAGCAAAGCAAGGGATGAACACCAAGACCTGCTGGATGACACAGCCAGCGTGAGACATGGGAAAAGGTTACAAGCCCCCTGCCACCTCCAGCTTCTTTCTGTTCCCAGAAGAGCATCAGTACTTGTCTAGGTCCTTCACTCAGACAGCTAACTAGTTGTTGTTGTTTTTCTGGAGGGCCACTTTGGCAAGCAAGTGAGTTGGGTGGGCACCTCAACCCCTATCCCTAAGATTACCTGGCCTGCGAGTTCTGTTCCCACAGGAGCTATGTTCTCCACACACCGCTTTTGCTTTTGGGAACTATGGGGCAAGAAAGCATCCCTCAGATTGCCAGATCTGGGTTAGGGGCCTCAAAGTTCTTACATTTTGGTCTCTCGTGTGTTGATATAGGCAAAAAGTGGGAAAGTTACCATACCATCAAGAATCCTGTGGAAGATAAGCTGCGATATAATGATCCTGAACAAAATAGCAAGACATGAGCAGTTATGGGGTGGAGGGGTTCGTTCAGTGAGGATTTTTAGGGTGGGGGAGGTTACCATTTTTGTTGTATTGGAACGACTACAAAACGAATGAAGCCGTAATTATGGAGGTATTAACTATGACTAATGACTTAACTGATTTAACTTCTATATGTGTTTGCGTGTTAGGCAACTGGAAAAGTCAAATAAGAAGATAAAGGAAATGTATCACATAAACCCCTTTTTAAAACCTTTGCTCCCGTGTTAAGTGAATAACGTTCTCTATAATGGGAACATGGCTCCCCATCATGAGATATGAACACAACTGCTGTCTTCTGAATGGGAAGGAAGTTTAATGGAGTTCAGGATTGTGGGACTTGTGGGCCTTTTCTTTCACAATAAATGTGCAGTTAATTGTCTGTTGGGGAGGGATGTCCTTAAGAACTGGACTTGGTGGGTCAGCGGAGGATAACAGCTTTTCTCAGGCCCAGCGACCACTAGCCATTTTACCAGATCTGAGGGGGGGGGGAGTAAGAGGAGCCCTGCTGGACCAGACCAGAGGCTGTTTCCCACACAATGTTTCCTACACTTCCTGTTTCCCACACAATGAGGGGCCATATATCTCTGGGAAGGCCCCATGGAGGACATGAGGCCATAGTCCTTTTCCTGCTGCTGTTTCCCAGCAGCTGGTATTCAGAGGCATATCACCCATCACCTTGAAGGTGGCAAACAACCATGATGATGACTAGTAGCCATTGGCAGAAAGCTGAGCTCCAGTTGCTAGGCGACTGTGGGGATGCTCTCCAGAACCAGCTCAATGGGGAGGAAGATGGCAGTGAATAAAAAAGGGAAGGAGATTGTGCTGCTGTCTATGAGGAAAGGGGAGATCTGAAGGTCACGGCCTATGGATGGCAAGCAAGGAACACGGAGTAATACTCCTCTCCAGGTCTAGTGAAAACCCAAAGCTGGTTTTGTGTGTGTCATAAATATCACAGACCCATTGTGAGTATTATTATTATTAATCTCTGATGAGTTTAAGGTTTATGAAATACAATCCACTGAGAGACAGACTGAGAAGAGCTATTGAAATCCACCTACATTAAAAGCAGGGCCAGTCCTTAGGTAATTCATTAGGTAATGCAGCCACCTCAGACAGCAGATTTTGGGAGTCACAAAAGGTCAGCAAGTTGTAAGTTGTTATTGTCATGTTTTTACTGCCAGGGTGGGAGGAGAAGTGCATGTGAGATTCTCAGCCTCAGGATATGTTCACATCAGTGGCTTGAAATGCAATGAGGTCATTTCCACACATGCTCACACACTGTGTTTCAAAGTTGCGTTTGCAGGGAGCTGTTCACATCGGAGAAGGACAGGGATGTCTTCACCTAATGCGTTTGACCTTTTCCGGTTTCCTCGTCCCTGCACCCCCCTGAAACTCCTATATGTTAAGTTTTTCATCAGCAGTTGCACGTCCATCTGTGTGTTTGTGACAGCATGTTCAAATTGCTGCTTACTCCAAATACAGTTTTCTAGCTGGATTGAAGCTCATTTGAGGGGGAAAACAAATCAAACATCAGTTTGATGTGGATTGTGGCTAACGTCATGTGAATGTGACTTCAAAAATAAGCCGTGGGAATGCTAAAATAGCTTGGCTGGGTTCAGGCAGAAACATGTCTTTCTTGCACCAGCCCTGACTAAAAGAAATGGTCAAGGGGACCAGGCCTGAGGTGGTATATTTTGAAATACCATGGGGCAACAAATAGTCAATTATTTAGTTTTTCACTGTATTACATTTTTACCACCATGGCAGATTTTCTGCCTGAGGCACTAAGACTGGAGTTGTGAGCCCAGTTTTTGAGGGGTGTAAGCCCAACTGAATTGACTCAGACTATAGTTTTGTGATCACATGTCTTTTGCTGTTTCTGGAGCCAGTGTGCAACATACCCATATTTCTTCAGTATGTCGCATGTGAAGAGGAGGGGGAAGAGACAGTCTACTATGTAAATGGTAGTGCAAGACAGAGGGATCATCTCGTCACCTCACAATCTTCCTACCAGTGAAACGCTCTATCTTTTGAAGAGGCACTTCACACAGAGGCATGTTTGTGTGAAATAAACATTATTTATCTGCACTGGTCTTACAAACACCTTCTGCCTGTTTATTCTACATGTCAAAAAGGCAGCCACTAGGACGCTGCAGAGTAGTCGCTCATTTATAAATATTGTAAAAGTTCTTGATGACTTACGTAAGGATATTTATTGATGACTTTGATCAGCCTGCACC